ATGGGGCTTCACCGTGTTAGCCAGGATGGTCTTGATCTCCTGACCTCGTGATCTGCCTGCCTTGGCCTCCCAAAGTGTTGGGATTACAGGCGTGAGCCACTGCGCCCAGCCCAGGGCCTCTTATTTTCAATACTTTGGGCAATCCTTCTAAAACCTGTCATATCATTAAAAACCATAAAAACCTATTACAGTTTACTAGGTTCTATAGATCTGCCCCACACACTCCTCTGACTCTTTGACATTCATCCTATAGCCCCGTCTTGACCATTCTATTTTTCTTGAGATAGGGTCTTACTGTCACCCAGGCTGGAGTGCAGTGGCTCAATCAAGGCTCACTGCAGCCTCGAATCACTTTCCAGGCTCAAGCAATTCTCCCACCCAAGTAGCTGGGACCACAGGTACACGCCACCACACCTGGGTAACTTTTAAACATTTTTTGTAGAGACAGGGTTTCACCATGCTGCTCAGGTTGGAGTGCAGTGATGCAATCATAGCTCACTGTAACCTCAAACTCCCAGGCACAAGCAATCCTCCTGCTTCAGCATCCCAAGTAGCTGGGACTAAAGGCCCACACCACCACGCCCAGGTAATTGTAACATTTTGAAGAGACTAGTCTCCCTATGTTGCACAGGTTGACCTGGAACTCTTGGCCTCAAGCAGTCTTCTCACCTCTGCCTCCCAAAGTGCTGGGATCACAGGCATGAGCCATGAGCCACCACGCCCAGTTATGACCATTCTATTTCAACCCTACTGATTTCCTTCCTCTATTTCATATGTGCCAGTCACGCTTGCTCCTCCCTGAAGGTCTTTTCATTTACGATTCCCTCTGCAGTCTCTTCTCTAGATATCCACAATTTGCTCCCTTAGCGCCTGCAAATCTTCATTCATAAATTATCTCTTTGTTGGGGCACCATGTCACACCCCTGTAATCCTAGCACTCTGGGGAGCTGAAGCGGGAAGATCACTTGAGCCAAAGAGTTAGAGGCTGCAGTGAACTAGGATTACACCACTGCATTTCAGTTGGGGTAATAGCGAGACCCCCTTCTCTACAAAAGTACAAATAAAAGTAAAACCATCTCTTTCTTGAGGCCCATCCTAACCACCTCATTTAAAATTGCAAGACTTGCTTCATCTCTATTATTCTTCACTGTATTTTCACTGTAACACTTGCCACTTCTATTATTTAATTTCCTTATTGTCTGACTCCCTTCTCCTCCACCAGGGTAAGCTCCATGAGAACAGGGATCTTTGCTTTGTTTTTATTCAGTGATGTACCTAAACACCTGGGATAAGCTCTGGCACATTGATGCTCAAAAATTGTTAAACAAGTAAATTAAAATCCTGACTTTTCAGAATCTTTTTGATATATTGTCTAACTAGGCCACTTATACCATGATGACAACATGATAAATCTACAGGTTTCATATAATCTGCACACTTGTCAGGTCAGAATTTTGCTTTGGGGATGACCATTTTGTACTCTGGCAGGACAAACAAACGTTAGGTGTCCCCGGAGCATCGTTTGCTTTTATAGATGTGTTTCTATTTTTCTTCTTCTTTTTTTTTGAGATGAAGTCTCACTTTGTCGCCCAGGCTGGAGTACAGTGGCATGATCTTGGTTCACTGCAACCTCCGTCCTCCCTGGTTCAAGCGATTCTCCTGCCTCAGCCTCCCGAGTAGCTGGGACTATAGGCGTGTGCCAGCACACCTAATTTTTATGTTTTTTAGTAGAGACAGGGTTTCACCATGTTGGTCACATGGGTCTGGATCTCCTGACTTCGTGATCTGCCTGTCTCGGCCTCCCAAAGCGCTGGGATTACAGTTGTGAGCCACCGTGCCCGGCCATGTTTTTCTTTTTCTAAGAAACATACTGTTGCTGCAAGGATTTGTTCTTTGAACTCCAATACTTCTGAAGTACAGGGAAGCATTTTATAACCAACTTTCTGAATGTTTTGCCTCAAAGGAGAAAAAATTATTACACTATGTGGGAGTGCTAACTGCTGCCAAAAATATTTTGAAGGACTTCCCGTATTACTAAAGTCTCTAAAGAGCTTAATTTATCTTTACCAGGAACAAGTTATTGCTGTTTTAAATCCTCTCCTATTCCAGAATTTGCCATAAGAAGCTATTCTTTCCTTGAACAATGGATCAAAAAAAAAAAAAAAAACAACAACAACAAATCCAAAGGTATGGGCAAAAGAGGCCTAGCCCACACCATTTACCTTTTTTTTTTTTTTTTTTTTTTTGGAGACAGAGTCTCACTGTGTCACCCAGGCTGGAGTGCAGTGGCGTGATCTTGGCTCACTGCAAGCTCCGGCTCCCAGGTTCACGCCATTCTCCTGCCTCAGCCTCCCAAGTAGCTGGGACTATAGGCGCCCGCCACCACACCCGGCTAATCTTTAGTATTTTTAGTAGAGACGGGGTTTCACCATGTTAGCCAGAATGGTCTCTATCTCCTGACCTTGTGATCCACCTGCCTTGGCCTCCCAAAGTGCTGGGATTACAGGCGTTGAGCCACCATGCCCGGCCCAGCCCACACCATTTCTATTCTGCATTGACTGTCTTAAGAATCTGGGTGTAATCAAAGTTTTGGTTAACATCTACCATCTTTTAGGGAACACAAATGTGGTACAAATTAATTCAGACACCTCAGTTTTAGAGTAAGAAAGAAAAACTACATGAACAATGAATTGGCAATTCTGGAATTCACTAGTCCGGATCTAGCTTGACAAACACAAATGAGATCCAGGACTACATAAACAAAGGCCTTTTCACCTCTGGGGTAGATCATGAGATTGCCGTGACTGAAAATCTGTTTATTTGAACATGCTTCTCTGTATACTTAAAGTTCACTAGTTTCAACAGTGTTTGGGGTTTTTCGGTTTAGGAAGCTAGTCTTGAGGTCGATATGAGGATGGGGGAGGTTAGCCCTGGATTTCTGTTCAACTGTTTTGCAAATGTACACCATTGGTCATAAGGGAGATGTCAACATTGCAAACACCACCCATTTTGTTTAAGAAAATACAAATCAACACCATTTTTCTGTACAACAAAAGGTTGTGTTTTCTGTGTTAAATGTAATGGTTAAAGGTATAAAGTATGTGTTTTTTTTGTTTGTTTTTTGAGAGAGTCTCGCTCTGTAGCCCAGGCTGGAGAGCAGTGGCATGATCTCGGCTCACTGCAAGCTCCGCCTCCCGGGTTCACGCCATTCTCCTGCCTCAGCCTCCTGAGTAGCTGGTACCACAGGCGCCCGCCACCACGCCAAGCCACTGTGCCCGGCCTAAAGTATGTGTTTTATAAAAATAAAAAAATGAACCCCAGGAATTAGGACTGCTTAAACAGATCCTTCTAGTCTGTTCAAGTGCTGGGCAATTATTCTTCGACCCTAAACTGCCCAGCTAATTAGAGCTATAATAATTTGCTTATCAGGCTACTGTAACAGATTCCAAATTTCCAATAAAACTAATAGCTTTATACTATTTCATTTTCGTTGTGCAGACAAAAAAGAAAAAAAATAACTATAGCATTAACAACAACAACAAAAAGTTCTGTAAGCTCTCACCACCAAAAGGAAGGACAGGCCAGGCGCGGTGCCTCACGCCTGTAATCTCAACACTTTGAGAGGATCTCTTGAGCCTAGACGCTCAAGACCAGCCGGGGCAACATGGTGACACCCCTTCTCTACAGAAAGTTAAAAAATTAGCCGGGCGCGGTGGCTTATGTCTGTAATCCCAGCACTTTGGGAGGTCAAGGCGGACAGATCACTAGGTCAGGAGACTGAGACCATCCTGGCCAACATGGTGAAACCCCCTCTCTACTGAAAATACAAAAATTCGCCTGGCGTGGTGAGGCGTGCCTGTAATCCCAGGTACTCCGGAGGCTGAGGCAGGAGAATTGCTTGAAATGGGGAGGCGGAAGTTACAGTGAGCCTAGATCGTGCCACTGCACTCCAGCCTAGGGGCAGAGACTCCTTCTCAAAAAAACAAAAAACAAAAAACAAAAAACAAAAAAACCCAGCATGGTGGTTCGCATCTATTGTCTCAGCTATTCAGGAGGCTGAGGTAGGAGGATAAGCTGAGCCCAGGGAGGTCGAGGCTGCAGTGAGCTGTGATTTCGCCATTCCACAAGACAGAGTGAGACCTTGTCTCAAAAAAAAAAAAAAAAGAAAAAAAAAAGAAAAAGACAGTTGATGTCAAAAGACACAGTATAAAAATTTAAAGCTCTATGCAGTGCTTTTGGTCATCATGAAACTAAATTATTTGGAATCCAAAAGCCTCTTCTCAGATACTTATTTCATCTGGAAGCCACCAAATCCTGATCGATTCCGTCAACAACAGATGTTTTTTTACCTTTTCATGCCATCATTATAAGCTTTACCTCCTACTGCTGAAACAAATAACTTCCTATAATTACACATAGTAATAAAATAAAAAAACTATGGCAGCTGAGATGCCAATAGATTTGAGCCAAAAAGGGCTGGCTCTTTTATGAACTCACGCTGTGGTGAAGAAAAACAAACTTAAAACAACACACACACACACACACAAAAACCTTGCAAAAAAGCAAACGGGGAAGACAAATTTAGCAGCAGTTCTCTTGCATTTCCTGGCTTTGTTGATTTCGACCCACAACGTTAGCAATAAAACACCAAGACTCACATTTAAATATTTCTTTTGAAATCAGAAAAACAATAGCTCTTTCAGGATTTGAAATGACGCTTGAAAGCACACAATAGATTCTATTGGGTCAATGTATTATTTACATACGCATCTGAGACTTCAAAAAGAAGTTAAATGGGAGATGTTCTCAACAGGCAGAAATAAGATATTCCAATCTATTGTTCAAGTTTATGGCTCAGATATAAATAATGGGCTATAAACCCGTATCTAGAAAACAGTTGCGCAGTGCGTGCTTCATGGCCAGCCAATGAAAAGCAACGTCTCATTCTACTCCGTCTTCCAGCACGTCAAAAGACATCCCACCCTTTTTTTTTTTCTTCCAAAGAAGCCAACCTCTGGGGACACCGGGTTTTAGCACCTTTGTGAGGCCTCCCGGCAGCACAGGAAGCTCTAAGGGGCACGCTCTGCAGTTGAGCTATTTGCAGAACGCCATGATCGCTCAAAGCCCAGCACGCGCACGGGTCTGCTACTGGCACCAGCACAAGGCTTTACACAGCCACTTCCCACGGCTGAGTTCTAGGCATCCCCACTTTAAAACGTTTTCCTGCAAGGGTGGGGTGAGAAATCTCACTTTCGAAGGGCTTGCAGGGCGGAAGAGTCCGCCTTGCGGACGCCCCGGCCGCGCTTCAAGGTTCACACGCCGCATGGCCACTCGAGCGCAGCCCGGTTTCGAGGCAGTTAGCGGTCGAGACTGGGGCCTCAAGCCAAGAAGGAAAGAACAAAGGGGCCGCGTTCGCCTGCCGCCCCGGGGGAAGGCCCGGGCGCGCCCGCCGTTCCGCCCATACCCCGCCCCTCGGCCGCGCGAAATGGCGGCGACCGCACCACAAAATGGCAGTCGCTCGGCCGCGGAGAGGCACCTGCTAGATGCCGTGGCTTCCTCCCCCAGCCCGGCCCCGCGAGCGCCAACGTCGTTCTACCCGCCCAGGCGCCCCGGTCTTCCCACGCCGCCCCGCCCAGGGCGCCCGGCGTCACCTGCGACCGCGTCCGGGGCCGCCAACAACGCGGCGCCTTTGTGCGGGCGCACGCTACCTTTACTCGGCCACACGGGCCCTTCTCGGTGGCTTTCCTTAAAAGGGGAAACGGCTGGAAGCGACGGAACACCGCTGCCCAGGGCGCCCCTCAGACTCGGGGTTACTACGGTTTCCCCACACTCGCAGCGTTAGCGTCAGGCCACCAAAGTGAAGACGGGCGGGGAAGGGACCACAGAGCCCGAGAGGAGGGAAAACCTAGAAAAATTTAGTGAAAGACGCCCCCAACCCAATGCTTCGGCGGCCACGTTGAGTCCTAACGTACTGAGCCCACTCGAGGGGGCCCGTGCGCGGAGGCGGCTCCAAAGGGTGGGTTTCGGCTTTCTTTCCACCTCGCAAACGTCCAGTGGGCGCTCTACGCTTCTCATGGCTACCCCCTGCCCTCTCCCCATGCTGAGGAATCTCGGGGGCTAAGCAGTGGCAGAGGGAGGAGCGGCTGCCGCGGTCCCTATGCTTTTTCCCAGGCGTGAGGGTCTCAGTGGACTTGGGCTCTGGGCCGTGGCTCGAAGGTTGGAGGTGTGGCGGTGTGCTTGGGGTTTTTCGTTTTCTTTCAAACGCTTGCTTCCTTGCGCTCCCCACCCCGCAGCGTCCCTTTGGCTCCGTCTTTCCAGAAACTTCTCACAGAAACTCGGCAAAAAGCCTCCGACTTCGCTACCGCTTTCCTCTCCGCGCATGCGCGAGACGCCGGGCGGAAAGCCCGGGGCGCGCCGGAGTGTGAGAGTGGTGCGTGAGCGCGCGCGCGCTCGCCGTGCGGGGGCGGTTCTCTCTCACAAAGAAGGGAAAGGGTTCCCCCTCCCCCAACATTCCGTCCCCGCGCAAGCGCGTCGGAGCCACTTCCTTGGCCTTTGAGGGAAGCGGGAGGGGTCGTCCCAAAGCGCGCTAGTCGTGGTTCCGCGCGCCTGCGCCCGGGGTCGTTGTCACCGAGTCTTTGATGTGAAGTGCGTCTGAACAGCTCGCTTGTTCCCGACCCACTTTTTCCTCAAGGCCCATTCGCGGCAACTAGCGTTATCGATTCTGAACTCCGAGTTTCCGGAAGATTAGTCTCCCCTTTGCGCCCCGGGAATGAGGCTGCCTTCCACTCCTGCCTGCGCCATGTTTGGAACGGCTCTTGAGTGGAGCCGTGTGGAGTGTGGTGGAGTCTTCTCGAAAGGGGAAAACAGTCTTGACCCAAGGCCTGGGTGGTGCCCCGGCAGGCTTACATTAGGCACTGCGTGGAATGTTTGCTCACTAAACCCAAAGAAAGGTGTCTTTTTTTTTTTCTTTCTTTTTTTTGACACGGAGTCTCACTCTTGTTACCCAGGCTGGAGTGCAGTGGTGCAGTCTCGGCTCGCTGCAACCTCCGCCTCTCGGGTTCAAGCCATTCTCTTGCCTCACCCTCCCATGTTGCTGGGACTACAGGCGGCGGCCAATAGGCTCGGGTAATTTTTGTATGTTTAGTAGAGACGGGGTTTCACCATGTTGGTCAGGCTTGTCTCGATCTCCTGACCTCAGTTGATCCGCCCACCTTGGCCTCCCAAAGTGCTGGGATTACAGGCTTGAGCCACCCCGCCCGGCTTTCCTCCCACCCGGCTCCCCGCCGGGAGTTGGGTTCTCGCTGTGTTGCCCAGGCTGCTTTGGAACTCCTGACGTCAAGAGATCCTTCCGCCTGGGCCTGCCAAAGTGCTGAGATTACAGGTGTGAGCCGCCATGCCCGGCGTTTTTTTAAAAGAATAATTAAAATGGTCTTAAAAGGTGTCATTTTCATTGGAACGGGGTGGGGCTCCTAGTGCCCGCCACAGTCCTCCGCTCAGGCCGGCGGGGCGGGCCCTGGGCTCAGGCTAGGTGCGTGGGTGCAGAGGGCCTAGGCCGCAGCTGCTTCTCCCTCTGCCGAATTGAGCTGGGCGGTGGTAACCATAGTGACCGCACTTGCTCTTCGTTCAGTGCCTCCCCTCCCTCTTGTCCTTTAGGAGTGTGGTGGAAATTATTGCCGGGATTTTGGGTTCTTCAAAATACAAAAAGCCAAACCAAAACGAAAAAAAACCCTCTTGTGTAATCAACTTCCCCTGTGTGCAAAGTTCGGGGAACCCGGGCGGCTTGCCTCTGCCTCGCGCCTGCGCGCTCTCCTTGCCAGGCTGCCCGGTCAAGGACCCTCGCGTCCCTGCTAGCATAGCCACTTCCCTAGGTGTATTGTCTTGTGACGCACCCCCAAGTCCCTGTAGGTGCAAGGCTTTAAAAAAGAGAGCTTGTTCGAGAAGAAAGCACATCGGGGGCTCTTAGAGGCCAGCGTGGACGCCACAATCGGGGGGCGAGCCGCGCGGCGACCCTACGGCTCTCGTGAGGTGCTGACTCGGGGCGGGTGCGCGTGCACCACTGACTGCGCCAGCCCGGGGTCGGGCAGAGGCAGTGCGCTGGGCGGAGCCGCTCCGTAGCCCCTAACAAAGGGCGAGCTCATTGCCCGGTGGGAACTGTGAGTTGGTGCCAGAGTCCTATGAACTCAGTATGTGAAACGTGTCTAGAGAGTGTTGAAGTACCAGCAAGCAATAGAATTCTGACAAGGCTGTAATTTGAGGCTTGGAAATGACCAGGTTAAGTGTCTCTTGAATTCGTAGAATTTCTGTTATAGATTCTATCTTAACATAATTTATGCTTAATAGAGTCTTTAAAATTGGCGTTCCTACGGTAATTATACTACTGACTACTAAATAAGAGGAAGAAAATGTGTAGTGTGTATGTTTTATAATTTGAAATAGGCATCATATCAAAGTTCTTTTGTGCTGTATAATAGGATCCTGGAGATGGATTTATTTATTTATTTAGAGACAGAGTCTCTCTGTGTCGCCTAGGCTGGAGTACAGTGGCACGAACAGAACTCACTGCAGCCTCGACCTCCTGGGCTCAAGGGATTCACCCACCTGCAGGCGCACCACCACACCTGGCTAATTTTTAAATTTTTTGTAGAGACAGGGGTCTTGCCTTGTTGTCCAAGTTGGTCTGGAACTCCTGGGCTCAAGTGATCCTCCCACATCAGCCTCCCAAAATGTTGGGGTTACAGGCGTGACCCACCGGTTCGGGCCTGTTTGAATTATTTACTTCAAACTACAGCCAGGTGTCTGAGAGGAGCAGCAGGGGAGCCTCAAACAAATCTGCTGAAAATTTCCATCCATATGTAATAAGCTACTAAACACGATTTATTTGGTATTGTTTTTGAGATTTCATCAAATGCAGTTTGATAGCCTTCTCTGAATTAATCAGAAATTTTGGCCGGTTGTGGTGGTTCACGCCTGTAATCCCAGCACTTTGGGAGGCTGAGGCAGGGGATCACTTGAGATCAGGAGTTTGAGACCAGCCTGGCCAACAAGGTGAAATCCCGTCTCTGCTAAAAATACAAAAATTAGCCGGGCATGGTGGCCGGCGCCTGTAATCCCAGCTACTGGGGAGGCTGAGGCACGAGAATGGGTTGAACCCAGGACGGGGAGGTTGCAGGGAGGTTGCAGGGAGCCGAGATTGTGAAGCTACACTCCAGACAGGGCGACGGGGAGACTCCGTCAAAAAAAGAAAACAGAAGTCTTGATTTGCGTTATTTACATTCTGCTTGTGTCTTGATGTTGTAGAAGTTACAATCTCCTAGACCTGGGTGTTTTGGCTAATGTGATGATCACTTATGGTGAAACAGTTAAGCTTTTTGATAATGATTACCAGTAGGGTCTTAAAAGGTTGAATGAGGGCCTGAGGGCCTGGCACCATGGCATTCGCCTGTAGTCCAGTGGTTGGAGCGGGAGGATCCCTTGAGCCCAGGAGTTTGACGTTGCAGTGAGCAATGATCCTACCCCTGCACTCTAGAGGGAATGACAGAACGACAACCTCTTAAAAAAACGTTAAATAAAATCTCTGAATTGACATAGAGAGTAATAACATTTTGTTCATGTGGGATTTGTTAATATAATAAATATGTTAATTTATGCAGTCAACTATCAACATTTCAGGGGAACGCTCAACTAAAGTGACCCAGATGCTAACTTCCAAAAGTTATTTATTTTATTTTTTATTTTTTTGAGACGCAATTTTGCTTTTCTTGCCTAGGCTAGAGTACAACGGGGTGATTTCGGCTCACTGCAACCTCCGCCTCTGAGGTTCAAGCAATTCTTCTGCCTCAGCCTACTGAGTAGCTGGGATTATAAGCATGCACCACTGGGCCTGGCTAATTTTGTATTTTTAGTAGAGATGGAGTTTCTCCATATTGGTCAGGCGGGTCTCGAACTCCCTACCTCAGGTGATCCACCTGCCTCGGCCTCCCAAAGTGATGGGATTACAGGCGTGGGCCACCAGGGTGGCCCAAGTCATTTTATTGTAACGTTTTTGTTTCAGATTATAAAAGCAATACCTGACAGGGCTTGGTGGCTCACTTCTATAATCCCAGCACTTTGGGAGGCTGAGGCTGGAGGATCACTTGAGACCAGGAGTTTCAGACCACCGTGGGCAATATGGTCAGACACTGTCTCTTTTAAAAAAGATAAAAACTTAGGGTGCTGTGCCCACTGGCTCATGCCTGTAATCCTGGCACTTTGGGAGGCTGAGACGGGTGGATCACGAGGTCAGGAAATCAAGACCATCCTGGCCAACATGACGAAACCCCATCTCTACTAAAAATACAAAAATTAGCTGGGTGTGGTGGTGTGCCCCTGTAGTCCCAGCTACTCAGGAGGCTAAGGCAGGAGAATCCCTTGACCCCAGGAGGCGGAGATTGCAGTGAGCCAAGATTGTGCCACTGCACTCCAGTCTGGGTGACAGAGTGAGACATGGTCTCAAAAAAAAAAAACCAAAAAAAAGCCAGGTGTGGTGGCATGGGCCTGTGGTCCCAGCTACTCAGGAGGCTAAGGCTAGAGGATTGCTTAAGCCCAGGAAGTTGAGGCTGCAGTAAGAGGTGATCACACCACTGCACTCCAGCCTGGGAAATAGAGCAACCCTATGTCAAAGAATAATAAAATACGGTAGGCGGGGCGCGGTGGCTCAAGCCTGTAATCCCAGCACTTTGGGATGCCGAGACGGGCGGATCACGAGGTTAGGAGATCGAGACCATCCTGGCTAACACAGTGAAACCCCGTCTCTACTAAAAAAATACAAAAAAACTAGCTGGGCGAGGTGGTTGGCGCCTGTAGTCCCAGCTACTTGGGAGGCTGAGGCAGGAGAATGGCGTGAACCCGGGAGGCGGAGCTTGCAGTGAGCTGAGATCCGGCCACTGCACTCCAGCCTGGGCGACAGAGCAAGACTCTGTCTCAAAATAAATAAATAAATAAATAAATAAAAATAAAATAAAATACGGTAAAAGTAATACCAGTTAACCAAAGAAAAATTTAGAAAATATAGAGGAGGCCGGACGCGGTGGCTCACGCCTGTAATCCCAGCACTTTGGGAGGCCAAGGCGGGCAGATCACGAGGTCAGGAGATAGAGACTATCCTGGGTAACACGGTGAAACCCCCGTCTCTACTAAAAATATAAAAAATCAGCTGGGCGTGGTGGTGGGCGCCTGTAGTCCCAGCTACTGGGGAGGCTGAGGCAAGAGAATGGCGTGAACCCAGGAGGCGGAGCTTGCAGTGAGCCGAGATCACGCCACTGTACTCCAGCCTGGGTGACAGAGCAAGACTCTGTCTCAAAAAAAAAAAAAAAAGAAAATATAGAGGAATACATTTTTTTTTTTTTTGACAGAGTCTTGCTCTTT